GTGTGTGTGTGTGTGTGTGTGTGTGTGTGTGTGTGTGTGTGTGTGTGTGTGTTTTATCATGTACAGGTTTTTTTCTTATCTCAAGTACTGAGAGTAAAATTTCGTTCTGGTTTTGGCAGCTTAACGTCACGCCCGAATGAGGTCATTTTTGGAGCAATAACTTATCACTTACGGAATGCAAGTCTAAAAAAATGTTTTACAATCAACTTCAGTGACAAATTACTAAAAATTATCAATGAATATATACAGAACATTTATGTAATCTACGGTTCACTTTCTAGATTATTTTTTCTTCCTTTTTACATTCAGATCTACTTGGGTTTCCTGTAAAGTAACGAGAAAACAAACAAAAACAGCAAAGCGAAGGCGGAAAGAACTGGTGTCTCATCAGGGGAGCGTCTGCCATCAGCACCCAATTTAACACGTCAGAATAAACAAAGCTTTGACTCGTATTGAGGGATGGCCCGGGGACATCTATTTTTCTCCCTCTCTCTCTCTCTTTTTACACGATTACATCACTCATTTTATTTAACGGTGAATGACTAAACGCTCAGTATTAGAGTTCATTATACACGTTTTCTTTTAAAAGGAGGGGAGAAAATGAGGCAAACGAACGGTGGTTTTATTTTTTGTAAAGAACAAGAGTGGGAGATGTGACAGAGGGTGGTGATGCGATGCCAATAGATGGGCCAAATCGTAAATACAGTTTTCTTTGGTCGCGGTGTAAGTGGAATGTGGCAGCGGGGGACCGTAGAGTTTTGTAAATTTACGCCTAACTTTCGACTCCGTACTTTTATTTTTAGTAGGTGTATTGAAACGCTCTTATGCCTACTGTGTATATACTTGGGTTCATAAAACTTCACGAAACAAAGTATTAGATAAAGGTGTTAAGGAACTAAATCATAGCGGATATATTTTACCGATAAATTTAGAAATAATGATAATGGTAAACAATTCAATAAAAATGCGTGACTCATTCTCCTTACTTGAGCTGTTACGGCGTGCCATTCCTCGGTCTTCTCCCTCGCCTTTTGCCTTTGGTGAAAGAGAAAAGTAAAAAAAAAGTTCCCTCGAAATTCCGTTGTTATCAAGGGAGAGGGATTATTTTTTCCCTTAATTTCGTGTCTTCTTTCTTCGTTTTCTTATTTTTTTCGTTTTGTTTTCTTTCTACTTCTCTTTCTTTCCGTTTTTTTTTTTCGTTGTTATTTCCGTTTTCTTTCTATCTGGTTGTTTTTTTTAGTTTCCCTGCTTTGTTTTTGTGTTTCCGTTTTCTTTCTGATTGATTTTCTTTGTTTCCCGTTTTCGATTTTCTCCTGTCGTTTTCTTTGTTTGTCTTGTTTTCATTTTCAATTCCTTTCACTATTTTCTTTGTTTTTGTCTCTCGTTTTTCGTCTTTCTTTTCCACCCGTAATCTTAATTTGCTTTTTCTCCTTTTCTTTTTCAAATATTCTTTTTGTGTGTGCGTGTGTGAATATATATAGATATACATACATACATATTTGTACAAAGCATAAAACAGGACTAAGTTACCTTTGACTAAGTTCCTGTCATGTAACGCCGTTGCAAGAGTACGGATCGCGTGCCGAGAGAGAAGAGGGGGGAGACGAGGAGGGGGAAATAGGGGGGGGAGGATTAAAGGAGAAGAGAGGGAGAGAATGATAGATGGGCAGGGGGAAAGTAGGGGAAGAGGAAGGAGAGGGAGAGAGGGGAGGGTGGTGGAGATGATGGAGAAATGGTTGAGAGAAGCGAGAATGGTTGATAAATGAGAGAAGCGAGAGTGGCAGAGAAATGGAAGAGAGAGGAGCGAGAAAAAATGAAAAAAAGGCGGAAGAGGAGGACGACGAAATTTTTTCAAAAAAGGTGGAAGGGAGAAATAACTGAAAAGAAAGAGAAAAGGGAGAGATGACGAAATAGAAGTTGGGAGAAGAGAAAAAATAAGAGAGAGCGCTAGGGGGAGCGAGGAGAGGAGAGAAAAGGGACAGAAGGAATAAAACTTGGCTACCGATGTCAGTGGTGTCAAGAGGGTAGGAGGGGGGGAGAGGGGGTGACACACTGACCCCAACACGAGGCACGCTGAAGGAAGGGCGCGGTTTTTTTGGGTCAGAATTGCTTACATTTCTGACCTCGCGGAAGATCTATGTGGTTAATCTTTTACACTTTTTTTCTGTCTCTCTCTCTTTCTCTTTCCGTTTGGTTCGTCTTCCTGGTTCGAACGTTTGCTCTTTTTTTTAAAGGTTGTCTTCCTGGTTAGCATTTTTTGGGGGGAAGTTTGTTTGTTTCATTGCCTTTATTTTTGTTATTTGTAATGTTTTTTTCTTTTCTTTTCTTTTGTTATTTCTAAAGACAGAATCTATTGTAATGAAATATATCCGAGTGTAATTGTTGTCTGAAATATCATCTTATTTTTTAGCACTGTATATCTTTATTTCGGTTATTATTTTTTTCGAGACTAATTTCTACTACTTCTATGAAACTAATATCGACTTTCCCTCTTTTGCAGGCCCAAGGAGAGGCAGTGGTTGTGGCTGGGGTTAATATAACAGAGGTCACAGACGATTTCAAACTTAACCAACTGGTAAGTACAGAAATTTTCCTTATTTAATTGATCTGTTTAACATTTCCTTTATTTATTTATTTTTTTATTATTCTTCGTAAAGGACAAAGATAGTAACATTATGATAAATTATATATATATATATATATATATATATATATATATATATATATATATATATATATATATATATATATGTGTGTGTGTTTGTGTGTGTTTCAGTGGATGGTAGAAAAAGAAGCAACATTTGATTCGAGAAAAATCCGACCGGTAAATAAATAAATCTCTCCACGTCAGTTTTATCAAGATGTCATCTGTCGTAGCTAGTTAATTCGATATGAAGAGGTTACCCGAACGCGGCAGACGGCTGAATTCACCAGCTGGCACCACCTCCTCGCGGCTTTCGTCTTGCGTTAATGAGGACGGCCGTTACAAGAGGCAGTTACGGGCGGTGAAGGTGCCAAGCATCTTGTCTCTATCCTTGCCTGAACGCGTGACTGTGTGTTTGGAAGGGTTGGATGCAAGTGTTGATTATTATATTTTCCTTTTTTTCTGTGGGAGAGAGAGAGAGAGAGAGAGAGCGAGTGAGCGAGTGAGTGTATGGTGTGGGTGCGTGAGTGTGGATGTTTTTGCATGTGTGTGTGTGTGTGTGTGTCTGTCTGTCTATGTACGTATGATTGTGTGCATTCGTACGTGCGTTAGCGTCCTCCGGTTTGCAAAGGCACGGAGGATGCCCCGTGTTCGCCCCGTGGCCCATTAGCGCCGCTTGGTAGCTACCGTAGGGGACGGGATAATGCCACATACATGGCACCTCTGGCACCGATTCTTCTTTCCTTTCCTCCTCCAGTCTTGATCTTTATCTTCCCTCCTTATTTCTTTTTTGTATATTTCAATCACTCTCTCTCTTTCTTTCTTTCTTTCTCTCTCCATACTTTTCTATATTTTTGAGACAATAGATTTAGAAAACTTGGCATAACAAAAAAAAATATATAAACAAGGCACTAAATAGTACAATAATATTCTTGTAATCGGATGCTTCAATTAGTTCAGCCTCGTATTTCTTTTGTTCTTGTTAAGTGACGATTCTTTTCGTGTTTATTTGCGTGATGGTTCCTCGTGAGCGGATTTTTTATTTTTATTTTATTTTTCCCTCGGTTTCCCATTTTCTGGGTTTTTTTTTCTATTATCCTTGATTCCTTTTATTCTCTCACCTTTTCTCTTTCAATTCTCCCTCGAGCGTCGATTTTTTTCACTTCCTTTTTTTATAATTTGTTTTATCTACCATTCTCAAACCCGACCAACCTCCCCCCCCCCCCCCCCCGCTTTTTCCCAGCGCGCAAAACAACACGTTTGAATAAAACAAGTGACTAACGCGACAGATGTTTATGTTCTCTGTAATTTAAGTTTGAACACGAAGCCGGGAGGAATGCAGGCGTAGTCTCTCTCTCTCTCTCTCTCTCTCTCTCTCTCTCTCTCTCTCTCTCTCTCTCTCTCTCTCTCTCGTTCTCTCGCTCTCTCTCTCTCGTTCTCTCGCTCTCTCTCTCCCTCCCTCCCTCCCTCCCTCCCTCCCTCTCCCTCTCTCCCTCTCTCTCCTTCTCCCTCTCCCTCGCCACCCCCCCCCCTTTCCCCCTCCCTCCCTCCCTCCCTCACTCCCTCTCCCTCTGAATCATGTTTCCTCTTTGAGTAAGTGGTTCGCAACCTCTCTACGTGGTTCACTGGTTCTTCCCCTCGCTTGGAACTGGGAAGTACGCCCCCGCCCCCCATCCACCCCTACCCCTTACCCTTCCGCTCGCCCTCCCCCCCTCCCCCCCTCCCCCCCGCCACTCGCTTTTCCCCGCCCATCCCCACGCCTTTTCCTCCGGCCTTCCCCACGCCTTTTCACGCCTCCTCATCTCTCCGTTACTGCTTGTCACCCGGATGGCAGTCACGGAACTTCCCCGCGGAGAAGGAGTCATGTGGAGTTTGTAACGGCAAAATGGGACCAAATAAAATTAGAATGTATTTATTTATACATGCATACACACACACACATATAGATAGATAGATAGATAGATATTTGTTTATATGTGCATGTGTGTGTGTATGTATGTATGTATGTATGTATCACTATTTTAGTTTTCTCTTTCCCTTTCTTTCTACTTTATTGGACGTCATCTCCATCATCGTCTGATTTTTTTTCTTATTATTATCTTATTATTATTATTTCCTTATAATTATTATCAATTTTAGAGGCTTGTCTTGTATACCTTTAGCCGCACAGATACACATGCAAGAAGGAAGAAGAAGTGGAGGAGAAGATAATAATAATAATAATGATAATAATGATAATAATAATAACGAGTTCTAGACATATACAAAGTGAACATTGACAGTGGTCCACTTTTGACGTTGATAAAAAAAATAAAACATACATTAATATCTTCACATTTTTTTCTCAAAAGTTAGA